GGAAAGAAGTTGTGGAGGGAAATGAGAAAGAATTTTGAGTGATCAGGGAGATCTGAAGAAGTGAGCAGTGACTCATGAAAACTCATACCGTGCCACAAAAGAGCAAGAGTCTTTAAGGTGCTACTGGACTCTTGCTCTTTTCTACTGCAAGAGAGAGGAGATATGAAAGAAGGGCACAAGGCCATTAGAGAGGAGTTATAAGCGGAAGGGGCAATGAAGAAACAGCAGAGGCCTTCTACCTGCATCCAGTTTATTACTTTCAGCAATTCAGCATCCTAGCCAGGAAGTGACTGGGGATTGTTTTGTCTCATCAAGCAAGAAGGATAAAATTGCTACAGTAACTGGGACAACAGATATTGGAGGAGGACTCCTATTACACCTGGAAACATTGCTATAGGCAAAGACAGACATTCTCTGGTGTGGTGGAGAGTTTCACAGCTTTCTGAAACAACTTCTTTTCAGGGCAGTGTATTCAAAACACTTCCACCACATTTGGAACGTAGGCTTGTCCTCTTTCTATATCAGTGGCCTCCATCTCTTAATTGATCAAATGACTCTGTAGTCAAACTCTTATTGTTCATCACAATTCTTTCACTTTTTCCCTCTCTTTCCTTCCATTTCCCCCCCTTTGTTGAAACAGACTTTGCATTTTCAATCCTGTGTAATATATTTGTGAGATAAAATTACAAAGAAAGATCTTCAGGTATATGCATGGACTGTACCAATGGTTCTGAGAATCATGCTCCCAGCATTAATTATCTTCCCTGCTCTCATGCCCACTGCCATTTGACAGCTGTGAGACAGAGCATGGCAGGGCCAGCCCATCCAAAAGGCACTCCTAGGTGATTGCCTAGTGCACCAGAGGTGGAGGGGCATCATTCCAGCCCTGTTGCTGCTCCACCCACCTGCAGCAAGCCTTCTCTGCCCCTTCCTCCATTGGGGGCACAGGTACGGTTGCTAATATGCAGATGGTGACTGGAGATCTCCAACTATTGCAACCAATCTCCAGGCAGCAGAGATTGCTTGGAGGAAATGGATGCTTAGGAGGGTGGACTGTATGGCATTAGGCCCTTCTGAGGTCCCTCCCCTCCACAAACCCTGCCCTCCACAGGCTCCACCCTCAACATCTCCAGGTATTTCCTGACTTGGAGCTGGCAACCCTAGGTGAAGGCCCTCCTCCTCCTTCCCTCTACCCTGGGAAGGTGGAACCATAGGCAGGCGGGGGGGGGGCTTTTCAGGGCTGTTTCTGCCTCCCAATCTGCCCCAGTTGAGAGGTGTGACGCCTCAAGAAGCCACAGCCTTAGCCCTAAAGGGGGGGGGGTGATACAGCAGATTCCACATGGTGTGGTGCATGTGTATGTACAAACTCATTTGCCTAGGATGCCAAAAATCCTTAAGCTGGCTTTCAGGCTGCTGTTTCCTCCTGGATCCAGGCCCTAAGGCAAAAGCAATTCCCCATTTTTTCTTCCAAGTAGCAGGAAGAGAATGGTAGGTCAGGTCTATTCACTATGTCTGCGTGAGTGGGTGTGCATGCGTACTCATAGGAGAACGCGTAGAGATGGTAGGTGGCGGGGAAATCCCTTTGCCCCCTTCCACAGGTCCCTATTTGTACATTATGCTTGCCTGCTAGTTCTCTCCCCACAGTATTAGGAGACACAGAAACCAGTGGGCTGGAGAAATTGCTACCATCATCAGCATCCGCCATGCCACCTCACCTGGGCTCTCTTCACATTGTGCTCTCCATAGCCGGGGTAATGGGACTTACATAATGAATAGCAACTGATAGCAAAGACTGTATCAGCAGCTGTGTATTATTTACTTTCTTATATAGTACAGAAAGGGACCCTGGAGAACACCATTGGTCCAAATACAGTCATGGAATTTTTATTCTTGCTCTTTGCATTTTTGGTCATTGCTCTTAACTTCCCAGCTTTTGGAGACAGACTCCACATCTTGCACACTTTGAAAGCAACAAGGAGAGGAAATTCAGTGGGATGGCAGGAGATGGCTATATCATATGATTCTGCAAAATAAGTAGCCGTTTGAATATGAAGGTTTTCGTCTTAGCAATGACTATGTAGTGGTACCTCTCAAAGAAAGCTCTTCATTTGGAACTTCTGAAACTGACCTGGATATAGAACTGGAAAATGTGCAAGTGGGAACAATTCTGCACTGACTAGGTGATGGAGTAGATGAGCCAACTGAAATCACAGGAACCAGCAGCAGTAGGCAAAACCAGCAATCCCTTTATAAGTGAAAATCCCCAGCCAATTCTGCACTTCTGTGCAAAAAGCCAATTATAGATTTCTTCTTCAAAGTAACTGCTGACTCCTTGGAGATCAAACACTATAATACTATTTTTCTTCACTTTCCTAGATTTCGTTTTTTGTGTGGGTGCAACCATATTGATTAAATTCACATTATTATTAAATTATTACTGCTACTCCTCTTGTTATTACTCCAGTAGTCTTTCTAGTAGTAACAACAATTCACAACGATGAGGATATTTTTTGCCGGTTACTATTAGCTAGAAGTTCTGGTGCATGCATAACTGCTGCCAAGATCAGCAGCACCACATCACTGCCTCCCTCCAATAAGCCTGATAATACATAAGATGCAATGACATCATGCTGCAAATTTTCCTGCTCTAATATATTGGCTGCCACTGGGGGTGGGGGTGGGGTGGAATAGGGAAGCTCCCAGCACAATGCAACACATTTTCTGTCAGTAGCCATTATCCAGGGGGAGAGAAGGAAGAGACATGTGAAGCTGGACATGCGCTACAACCTAGGTCAGGACATAGTCTCAGAAACCAGCATGATGCCTGTGTTACTGCGGCTGGACAGCACACTGTATCTAAATCAGCAATGAAAATTAGGAGCCCAGGCAAGAGGTATCCATTTAATTATTAGACTAAGGAATTGTCTTCTGCCATTCAGGTACAAATCATAGTACTGTATATTCAGTTGCAATTATTGACTCACAGAACAGTTAAAACTTGGGATATTTTGAAGCAGAGGTATGCATTTGGATATTTCCAAGCCAAAATTATTCCCAAAATTTCCTATTTCATTTTGGCTTGGAAATATCTGAAACAGAACAACTCCTGAATTTTTCATGATTCCAAAATTCACTCTCCACTGGTTTTTAGTAGAGAGAGGGAGGAATAGATTCCTTGAAATTTTGGTGCCATTTAATTAAAGAATAGTCACTCTGGAAAGCCAAATTAATTTCCCCATAGGAAAAGATGGGCCAAAATTCCCCCGAAAACCCCAAATGTACCCAAAATGATATCAACACTCCTAATTTAAATATATATATAAAATGATGCTTTTTCTCAAATTGAAAAACGAAATTATGGGGTCAGGAGAGATTCCACACTTTCTTCCCCTGGTCTGCAAAGGACAACACATCCGTAGGTGACTGTTCCACCTTCAAAGCAGGCTGTCTCACTGAATGCTTCATCAGCCTAATCTAAAGCAAGGTTATATGGAGGGTCACAGGGCTGACCTCCCCAAGGTCAGGAAAGCTGTGGCTGAAAAAGAAAGATTTAACCTCCGATATGATCTGTCAATCAAAGGGCAAAACGGGCTTTAGAATCTACATGATGAACAGCACTAGCTTGCAGCACCTCAGAGGAAAAGCACGGTGCACAGCTTTCAGTTCATTTCTGGCTTTCACAGTGGCAGCCCCCCTGCTTTGGCTGGACTGCTCTACAGTTTTTGTTTTCAGTGGATTAGGCTGAGGCAGCTTTGCTTTCCTGAGTACATTGATGCAGAAAGTTACAAGTGCTCCGTTTACTCCCTACCCACCCATCCCCTTTCTTCCATTCTGGAGAGAACATCAGGAAATGAAGCTTTGAAGCCAATCCATAAGAATGTGTTTAATTGCCATCAAATTCCCAATGGCACACCTTGAATGGACAAGGGAAAGGGACAAGAAACTAGAGTACGAGGGACGAGCCAAGCCCTGTTCAGACAATACAGAAGAGATCAATAGGCTGAGTGAGACAGCAGGCTGAGCACCTGCTCAGGGAGAAAGGTTCTTTCCAACTGGAGACATTTATCTGACCACAGAACAAACAGACTATTATCAAACTTTCTTTGCACTTGTGACATGGCTAAGGCAATCTTAAACACTTCTGTAAACAAACCACACAATGTTCAGTGTACAGTTCTGAATCATCTTTTCTTGTGCAGCATATTCTTTATAAAAGTGTTTATAAAAATAAATATTCAGAATGTGGGAAGGGGGGATGTGGGATTCTTAAAAAAAAAACTTTTCTTTTCCTGTGTAGAAATAATTTATGTGTAGGAAGAGGCACGAATGCTGGTGGTAGGGGATCTGGGCCACAAGGGCTCATTTATAACTCATACACTGTCTTGAGTTCTTCCTCCTCCCATGCACAAGCGGAGGGGACAATGCCACAGTAGTGATGCACAGTATTATGCTTTTGGCTTTCCCCTCTCAAATGAGCATTTTGGTAAAAGCCAGTGGTTTTAGCATTAACTTCTACGCTGGTTTTTCCCGATATTGAACTCAAGAGAGTTAAACAATCATAAACGTACACTGCCAAGGGCCTTTGTACAGAAAATTGTGAAGATAGTGTGAATTGAATGGGAATATGGATCCTTGGGAATCTTCCAAAGAGCTGGATTTCCCTGCTTAACCAAAACATCATGCCTCCCCAAAGAATCCCAGAGTTCAAGCTGACATGTCTATTTGTGACAACAGAGCTTTCTTCTAGGAAAATGGTGGGGAAAGCATGGCTGATAAAATTTTGTTTTGCCCACTTCAGCATTTTTTGTTCAAATTTGAAACTGAATTTCACTTTAACACAACAGTGAGTGAGTGCCACTCTCCTGCTGAGCCACACAAAATCCTAACCCTTCTATGACCTCTCCTTCCCCTTGAAGTATAACCTGGCCTTGGTCAGAGCTTTTGGAGTTTTTTATCAGGTGCTGCCAAGTGGCCAGAAGACATTGGCTGCCTCTCCTTACCTTCTTTCAGCATCCCCACTTTGAGGCATTTCATAAACCGACATGCCTGACAGGACTTGCGTCTCCGTTTTGTGATTTCACATTCATTGGTAGCTGGACAGCTGTATTCAATGTTCCCTGCAAACACAAAGAGCAGTGGTCACTAAGGTCTTGCCTCAGTGTCCGAAGAAGCACCATTCTGCAGATAGTCTTCCTGTTGAAGTAACAGAATATACCCGAAGCATCATCTGCAAACAAGCTGTGGACTTACATTTTTGTCATGGAAACAAACAGAGCAACTGGGAAGCTCCATGAACTGCAGCCAATGTGTTGGAATGGCAAGATGTAAAAAAAAAATTATTTTTTCTTTATTTATTAATGGCTTTATCCCACCAGGGAGCTCATGGTGGCCTACTCCTCTCCCTTTGTTCTTACAACAACTCTGCCATACAGGTTAGGATGATGGATCATCTGGGAATTGGCTTCTGATCTCCTGCTGGGGAAATTTTGCTCTGTTCCCAGTAAGGTAGCCAACTGATCAGATGGAAGTCATGGAAGCTCAGCTGCCTCTCAGACTTGCTAAGAAGCAGCAAATGGGGAGGGGGAATGATCAGAAGCCCAGCTGATTTCTATTCTTTTCTATACCACCCCCAGCTGTTGGCTTGGTCTGCAGAGAGGAAAGAAACAAGCTCCTTCTCCTCTTCCTTTTGGCAAGGGGGAGCTCAGAAGCATTGTTTCTCACCCAGCTCTGAGGTGGCAAAGGGAGAAAAGAGTTCTTTCTACTATCCTTTTTGTTGTTTCACTGTAGCTATGGGGGGGGGGGGGGCAGGGGCAGAACCAGACTCCCAGATTACTCCCCAATCAGCTGAGAGTTGGCTTCTGAGCAACAGGCAGCTTGCAAACCTGTTCAGCAGCTATATGAGTCACTCTGTGAAATATGAACATATCCCTGAATAGCTCACAGTTAAATTGTAAGTGCCCAAAAAGTAAGTTCAAGTTCCAAACAGGTTTGCTGACAAATTCATGACTTCCCTTATCTTAGTAGCTAACCAATATAACATGCTTGTTTTGTATGGTAAGACATGGGATCCACTGAGCTAGGACTAGAATTTGAGGCTCTTTAGTCCTAATTTCATGGTTTTTTTGTTATACCACATTGGCTTTCAATGAAAACACGATGGTGGTGTGCAAGTTCATAAAAAAGATGCTCCTGTCCAGGAGGAAAATGCCTCCAGCCTTAAAGACCAAGACTGGTAACTAATACTTTTATTGATTTCTTTCAGGTTTCTCTGTCCTTTCCAGTCCCTAGGGCAAGTGGTGGATGACATCACAGAGACACAGAAGAAAGAGAGAGAGAGAGTGCACAATCCAAACGCCTATTTAAAAATAACAAAAGGATGTAAAAATTGCTTTAAAATAACCTGGTCCAGTCTAAATCTCATCACTCCAGACAAGAAAGTCTTGCAGGTGTCCTATGACATGCTTGGGGAGTCCTGAAATTATGTGGAAGTCAGAAATCAAACTCCTCTGCCTTATTACTGAAATATTACTTCCCAATTATTACCTAAAATGCAAGTAAAGAAAGAGTTACGCTATGGAGAACCAAAGACCTTGCAGTTGGGAAGGCTGAAAGGTGCCTTCCCCTGAGATGGCTTCTTTTGGTTTTTCTGGCTCTTGAGCAAACTTTAATTACCATTTGAGGCTCAAATGCTAAAACTCAGTAAGGTATAATGCCATGTAGTCCACCTTCCAAAGCAGCCATTTTCTCCAGGAGATGTGGAATAAATGTTTTAAATAAAGAAATAATGCATACGTAAGTGATCTATGTAGTCAAGAAATCAGTTGTTTGTAATTTCAGGAAATCTCCAGCCCCCACCTGGAGGTTGGCAACCCATATTTAGGTCAGGAAAGTGATACTGAGAATGGTTTAACCCCACCACCTCCTTTCTTCATGCTGTAGCCCTGATTTGGATTAGGTCCCCAATGTCTGCCATTTAAAATGAGCCACTGGGAGCTCCATGCGTGCATCCAGTTTTGCTTTAAGCTACTGAACTACAGATTGGGAACTGGTCCCTGCTTCAGGTCTCTGCTGTGCCATGAACTCAGTAAGTAGCCTTAGGCAAGCTCTATGACCGTCGCCAGTACTACTAGGATAATAATGCCGATCTCCCTTACAAGGTTGCTGCAAGCATTACAAGGAAATAATGTCTGTTATTAATGTATACTTTAAACACTTCAAAGCAATATACAAAAACCAAGTATTATTATTTTGAATAGAACACATTCCAAATGCCACACACTGCACCAAAAGGCATCTGTTTGTTTTGTTTATTATTTAAATTTATACCCCAAATTTTTCAAAAACTTCCTGTGGGCATAGGCAGAGCAGTGAATTGTCGAGGAACAGAGTGTCTGTTCTATGGCAACAGGAGGTTCAGCTAAGCAGCTGCAGTTTCAGTAATTGACCTCAAGGCTGCTTCTTGTGTGACTTTTTAAAAGATGCATGTACGCTCCTGAGAGTCACGCTAAAGTCTAAAGTTAAATGATGTCTACCATTTAACACTTACTTAGCACCAGCAGAGTGTTAAGATACCACTCAGAACTGTCACAAGATCCAGCCTTCCCAGAGCCGAGTGGCCACACACCTGCTGTTTAGACTCAGATGTGTCCTGTGATAAAGTAAATGCACCTAACTGATAACAAAGAACTCCTACATCCTTTGAATTGCTGCCACTGGCCAATTCCCCTTTGCATCTAGGCTGTTCTGGTACATGGAAGATTACACAAGTGTATCAGTATATACCAGGACCAGCTGAGGCAACTCCATCTTCCTGTGGGGGGTGGTCAGAACAGATGCCTTTTAAAAAAGACTTTGGGGGAAGGGATTAACAATGCAATTCTAAACTGAGTTACACTATTCTAAGCTAGCTGTCAGTCAATGGGTGTTGTGGACCTGGGCTTGGAAGGATGCAGTTCTGTTTAGGGTTACACTGTCAATACTCAAAAGCATGCAGAAACATCTTATTGAAAGATCTAACAGAACCATTTCACTACACACACATGTGCAACAAATTGAGAAAATTTTTAAAATATAATACGTAAAATATTCTTTCTAAAGCATCCCCTAGCCAGATGTTGCCTGTGAAGGCAGGCATAATTTTTGGTTAGGTTACCAACAGGATTGGAACAGCAGCATATGTTTGTGGTCAGAGATCAATGTTGTCCTTTTTTTTGCCATCAAGTCACAGCTGACTTATGGTGACTCCATAGGGTTTCGAAGGCAAGAGATGCTGAGAGGCAGTCTGCCATTGCCTGACTCCACGTCATGACCCTGGTATTCCTTGGTGGTCTCTCATCCAAGTACTGACCTGGGCCAACCCTGCTTAGCTTCCAAGATCTGACAAGATCAAGCTAGTCTTGGCTATCCACACCAGGGTAATGTCATCTTAAAGGTAAAGGTTCCCTTGCTCGAAAGCCAGTCGAATCTGGCTCTAGGGTTGCGGTGCTCATCTCCGTTTCAAAGCCGAAGAGCCAGCGCTGTCCGAAGACGTTTCCGTGGTCATGTGGCCGGCATGACTAAACACCTAGGCGCACGGAACGCTGTTACCTTCCCACCGAAGTGGTACCTATTGATCTACTTGCAATTTCTTGCTTTCGAACTGCTAGGTTGGCAGGAGCTGGAACTAGAGACGGGAGCTCACTCCGTCATGCGGCACCTGGGTCTCGAACTGCTGAACTACTGACCTTCCACAGCCTGCAGTTCAGCGTCTTAACCACTTGAGCCACCGCAGCTCCAATGTCATCTTAGAGAGAGGCAAATTATTTTTCCCTATTCCCCTTATAGAGACAACACATGCAGGAGGTGCACTAGTGAGATTACAACCCACATGGCTCTCTGAGCTACTCTTGGCACCAGGAGCAGACTGGGAAGGTAATATGACCCAGGAAAGAGCCAAGTTGAGTGGGGCTCTGCATAGCCACAAGGCATCCCAGAAGGGGCCACTTAGCTCAAATCCAGTCAGTTGGGCCAACCAGCACCAGTTTGCAAGAGGAGGCAACTGGTAAACTGGCACTAATTCTCTGCCTGCTGAAGGGTATGAGTCAAGCGGCCCCATGCCTTAAAATATTACCCTTCTTGTGACAAGAACATATATGTGACATGCTGTCTGCCCAGAGAGCCAACAAGCTACACTGGACAAATACGGAAGGGGAGGGAGAGCTGGCCAGGAATTTGTGGTGAGTACAGGGGGATGGATTGGAGGGAGTAAAGTGGAAGTGAAAGAGCAGGGAAGGTGAAGCTAAGGTAATCCAGGAGAAGCTCTGTCACAAAAGCAATTCTGACATGTTAACACAAACAGGCAGCCACACAGAAGGCACAACATAACATATTAGTGACTCTGTTGTAAGTGGAGAAATGCATATGGGGAAGCTTGGAACAGATCTGGCGCTAGCAAGAGCAAACCTGGAGTGAATCTGCTCTTGCTTAAAGGCTGAATTCCAGCACTTCCTAGTAGGAGAAATATGAGGTCTAGGCTTGCCAGTCCCCAAGACTGGGTGGGGGTTCCCCCAGTTTTCAGGGCTTTAGCCCACCACCAGCCAGCTGGCCGGTGGGGGAAACCCCGCCCCCAAACAGCCACATCCTCGCATGACTCCCATGATATGATGACATCACCCAGAAGTGATGTCATCACTCCAGGGATACTCTGGTTTGAGGGCAAAACTCTATGGTTTTAAGCCAGTTTTATGATAGAGTTTTGCCTTCAAACCAGAGCTTACCTGTGTGACATCCCTGGCATGATGACGCCACTTCCCTGCAACAGCCCTGTGAGGCAGGTTAGGCTGAGACTGACTGGTCCAAAGTCACACAGGAAATTTTGTGGGAAATGAGGATTTAAACCTGGGGTCTCCCCCAAGCCCAGACTTACAGCTACTACACCGATCTCATGCACACTGACTTTTGTGTATCTACAGATACAAGCATGATGCCTTAAAAAAGGTCACCCTTGTCTTTAAAAAAACAACAATAACGAGATCACAGTGGTCTAGGAGATTCGGACTTGAATATGGGCTATTTGTTAGCAGCCAAAACCTTACTAGAAGGCCTTGAACAAACTACTCTGTCGAGGATGGCCAGTTTG